AAATGCTTTTCCTGATGGTTTAGAGATACCTGAGACTCTTAAAAAATCCCATTTATGGAGAAATGCAGTAGGTACTGCGAGCCTGAGTGAATGACCAGTTCACGGCATTTGAAGGGATTCGTGGGAATTTTGGGTTGCGCACTGAGGAGCCAGTTAAATAACCTTCAGCAGGGTCCTTAAATTGAGTTGGGTAGCGAAATGGTGATGGGAGAAAAGGGGTTTTCTTTCTGGTTTATCTGTGTATGCCTAGTGTAGTCTCTGCACAAAAATTTGTTATTGTTATAGACACTATGTCGATCATGGTGATACTAAAGAATTGAGTCATTTTCTCATCAAAATACCACTGCTGGACTTCGTTTCTGCTTATATTTGGCACAGCTTGAGCGAGGTGCAGCACTGTAGCAGTGTCCAATCTTTTTTGTTGCCAAAAAGACAGTGAGTGGGTGTTACCAGGCCTGTGATACTGGGTTATGAGAGGGGTTTTGTTGTGGGGTGTTTTTGTTGTTTTTTTTTAAAACTTGTTCACCTTTTCATTAATGGAGTTGTATGTGATTTCAGGGTTCATAACTTGTTAACAGCATTTCTTTTCACAATGCAAGTTAGCAGTGTGCCACCTTTTTTTTTTTTTTTTCCAGTAACAAATAAAACCTCACCGAGAAGAGAATGTTTTCTATTCTCCCTTAGGTTGTGATGTTGTGCTGGACTGGCTATGAAAGACGTATTGGAGCCGTCAGCTAGGCAATAACTTGTGTGAAGAAAGTGAGGATGAGGAAGAGGAGCAGGAAGAGGTGGAAGCAAATGCAGAGTTGGACAATGATGCATGGGAGATTCAAACCCCACAGCATGAGGCCTGTCAGAAACACAAGGAATTCCATGGTAGGTGTCCCTATGGCAGATTCAAGGGTTAGGTATGTCCCATGCTAGAGAAAGCAGTTTAAAAGTGTCATCTTCTAGCCCTGACGGTGCATAAAGATATACCTTCAGCTCAGGTTTTGGGATTTCTCTTTGGACCTTGGTGGATTCTTGGGGTGACCAACTTTTTTGGGATTAGCTCATTGAATTCATAGCATAAAATTTTTTACTTCTATTGAATATGCAGTATCCTAATCAGGAGCAACAGTTATACTGGGATGGTTTAGGACCAAGCCTTGTAAAAATTATTAGTAGTGTCTTGACAGCCACATTTTTGGTATTGAGGCCACTGCTGACAAAGATGCTATGGTCCTTTTATAGCCCTCAAAACTCTGTAGATTCATGACTTGAGCAAGAGCAGGATAAAGGCAGTTCAGCCAGTTTCAAAATACTTTGCGTGTGGACATAAAAATCACTAGCTGCCAATAGTATTAAAAAAAAAAAAAAATCTTAAGTAACTCAACCTGGACATAATCTAAGATATAAAGTGCAAAACAGTGGGAAAACTTTAGTAAACTCTTCCAGTGGTTGCTTTTCCATCACCAGAAGTCTTTGAACCCAAAATAAGGAGCTTTTCTCAAGGTGGATTTCTAGTTTGAATGACTTACTGGAGGAAGCAGGAGTTCAGATTAGGTGGCTGGTCTGTGAGTTTGAGGCATGTGAGGTATCAAACAGTACCTCAAAGAGTAAAACCAGTCAGTCATAATTTTTTTCTGATGAAACATGGCATGCTTATGGGGAGTAACTCACCCAATAGATTACAGCAGTCCAATTTAAGGTCCAGAGAGCGTGCAGAAATGCTGAAGTGACTCTTATTGCTCCCTGGAAGGTCACACGAGGTGACTATAATGATCTTTCCGGCTTTAGGATTTATGGATTTGTTGCAAGTCTTTTCTAGATTCCAGAAAATATTAGCTAATTTGTTGAGCATTTTGAGTTTAATACAGAATTTATTGGAACAGTCCAAACCTAGAGGCAGTACTAAACTTTGGAACGCAGCAGCACTTACCACTTTTCTTGTCAGCATGTATGTCTGGGCTTCTGTCTGACTTCATTGGATGAGAATCAAGCATGTGCTATTCCTTCTCCATGGCTACCCTAAAGAAAAAAAAAAAAAGAACACCCCACGCCCAGTTGCTGAAAGAGAGAACCACAGGATGGTACAGTAGATTCTGTGATTTATGTGTCCAGTGTAATAGAAAGGCAACGGTGTATCAGTCCTACAGTTCAAATGCATCTGAAGCTTTATCGAGCTGATACTGGGTGGTGGGCATCCTGATAGCAGGTGACAATGGCACCTGAATGGTGAAGTATTTTGAAAGATGGTGCTATTGCAGGTACAGTAAAAGTGGTCCACAGACAGAAAAAGACCTTTCGTGTAGATGGTAAATTAAAGTTTAATAAAGTCCAATAAGGATACAGTTGATTTGTGAATAGCCACAGTGCTGTTGCAATAGGTTTAAAATGCAAGTATAAGGAATACAAATATGCGTCAGAACATCAACTGCCTATGGGAACAATTTTTTCCTAAACTGATCTATTTAGGGTTGTTGGTTTTTTTTGTTTTTTTTGGTTTTTTTTTTGTTTTTTGGGGTTTTTTTGAGCTCTCTGGATTTATCCAACTTGGCTGTCTTTGGCCCCTGTTAGTGATAAAATACTGAACTCCTGGTTCAACCCCACATGATAAAATTTATGTTGCTGGAAAAGTCTGGGAGCTGTAGGAGTCCTCGGAGTGTTGTCCAAATCAGAATTTGTTACTTCAGTTGACTCATGTCTTCCTTGAGTGTATATTCAGCAGAACTAAGCAGCTTGCCCAGATACAAAATTCCCTCTTTAAACTATATATTTATGTTTATTTCTAGAAAAAGTCAGAGATGTGCTGATAGCCTACAAGACTGAGCAGTTCCGGGTAAGTGCAGTCTGATCATCAGCATTTTAGTTCTTCTCATTTCCTACTTGGGGCAATAAGTCTTCTCCTCATTCTTGCCCAAATGGAAGAACTGGTGCTCTTGGCCAGGCCTTATTTTGAAATACCTGTGTGGTAGCACAACTAAGTTGCTGTGCCAGGAACTGATTTCATATAACTGCAGGGATCCCTCTTTTCTCCCTGTAGCGTCCTCCCACAGCTAGAATCTGCCAGAAGCATCAGTGATGCAGAAGTGATACTTGTGTCGGTGCTGCAGAGGTGGCAGTACGGCAGTGTCCACAGTACCACCACCGCTTGCCAGGTTGCGTACTCTCGCCTAAAGCAGTACTGCCATCTAGTGCGTAGCCCACAGGGGACCTGTGACTGCTGCGTGTGCAGAGGGAGGCTTGGTTAGTTCCTTGTTCAGACGTCTCTGCTACTGTTGTCATGCATGGCTTACCAAAGTAAAGCTTCACTGCAGAGAACAAACAAATTGAGCTGTGATGGTTTCTAATGCGAGCGCTTTGTTCGTGTTTATAAATGAGATGTGTACTTGCTGGAGATCCCAAGTCTTCCTTGTCCAGGTGGATAGTGCTCAGTTTGATTTCATTCATCCTAGTGCCTCTGGAAATTGAGACCTGTCATTCAGAAGTCACTAGCCCATGTTTTCTATCATCCATTGTGTATTTTTGCAGTGGCCCAGTGACTGAGGTGCTGCAGTTCAGATTTGTGAATAATTTGCCCCAGAAATGTCTCTCTTCTCGGCTTCCCTTTCTTAATAATGGGACAATTCTTAAGATGTGTTGAGAGCTGGGCTACAGACCCTGTAAAATGTCTTTTGACCTCACCAACATACTGTTTTTATTGGGGAGCTGTTCTCACTTTATTTCGATTAATATCATTAGGAGCTAAGGGAGAAAGCGTGCTAACATTCCAGTGAAGTGTAGACTTAATAAGCAATGAGAACTAGAGTCAGGAATTTTATTGAAAATGAACATCCAGTTTCCTTCGTTGTCTTGGTTTTGGAGCATATAATGTGATTCTCCTTTGTTCGTGCTTCCCTTTCCATAGTTGGTACTGGCTTATTTTGTAAGTTTTGCATTGCATCGTAAAGGAGACAAATTGATTATATGTGGTGAGTGACCTCTTAACATATTAACTGAACAGAGGGAAGTATTTCAAACTGAATAGGAAAATGCAGCTTTGAAATTTAAACTGGCCAGGGTTGAATGGGGGAAAGCAGTAGTCAGTCAATTGCTAAAGAGTAATTTCAAAACTTTTGTTTTGAAGCTCATGTGAAACTGTCCTTATCCCATCAAAATGGTGTAAATACTAGCTGAAGAGTAAACTCTTATGTTTTATGCCCCAGTTTAATTGAATGCTGCATTCTGTGCTTTTGGAATTTCTCTGCTCACCCTGTAAGGCTGCCTTTCTAGTGAATGATTTCAAGTGGTGCACTTTTAAGTCTGTCAGCTGTGACAAAATACAGCTGAATTGTGGAAAAATGAATGCTCTGTAGATCCATGTGTTGTGGATATAGCTTCTTTTAACATATAATTTTTGCCACTCTGAGATACACTGAGTAAGGGTGGGCAAAGGGCTTGCCAAGATCTGTCAGTGGCAAGGAGTGTTACTCCTTATGGCTGATAACCTGCAAGTTCTTAACTGAAGTTTGTCTTTAATAAAAAAAATTTAATACTACTTTTGTGCTTTAATAACTATTGCCGGTAATTTGAAAGGATGCAAGCATATTGGTCTTTTGTTGGCCTCTGAAACTCTGTTCTGTACAACAGTAGACCTGTAATTTAAAACTGATTGTAGCTGATAAAGTCTCTGAAATTTAGAAATGGATTGAAAAAAATGACATGAGCTTGTTCTTGTGCATACAAATAATTTCTTAACCATGACAGCAATTGACTGTTCCAAATATCAAATAAATACTACCTGAAGCTTTTTTAGGCTTATATTTAAACACTTGCAGTGGATTGGCATAGCAAGAGTGGCACAGTATCTTTGCTAGTCTCCCTGTATAAATGTATAGTCTGTCTCTAATCTTTTTCATATAAGAAGGAGAATCACTTATACCTAAGTCATCTTTATAACAGTGTAACTACAGTCTCTGATCCAGATACTTCTCTAGCTATTTTCGTAACTACTTATTATACATAAAAGTTCATATAAATCTGTAAAGTGTAAACTAGGCCAAAATAAGCTCTGACATGGGGGCTGTGTACTTTGTTGTCTGATGGTTCATACGGGTGGGCTAGGGGTTCTTTAGTCACTTCAGGTCATGTCTCTATACTTGATTTGCCATCTAAAGTATCTTTTGCATGCAGTGGTAGCTTTGCATATATCAGTTAAGAGAGCTAATCCCAGTCCTGAAAATGATACTTTGGTTTTCAAGTCTCATTTTACATTACATTCCTACCTGGCAGGAAAGATAATTTTTTCTTTTCTTTCAGTAGTTACTGTCTTCCAAAAAGAATCTGCTAGATACTTGTTGGTGATGCAACATCCTTCACGCCAATATTTTGTAGAAGGTGGTGATGGTAGAATTGGCACTTCGGTAGGTTGTGAGCATAAGTAGAAGGCATGTCTCACCTTGCTGGACAGACTCAGATAAGGTATATATCAAACCAAGAAATCACTAACTTTCAGAGGAGTACTAACCTCCAATATTCTCTCTTCCATTCCTTGTAGAAGCTGGTAGTCTGTTTCGTGTATTGCTCCTGCTCATCAGATGCTCTCAGCTGATTACAGGTTGCCTAGGTGGCTGTGTTGATTTGACATTTTGATCTACTGTATGCATAATATGACTGGCAAAGCCTTGTCCTGAGTAGGCAGCCTCATCCCCACTCCACATGTGGAGTTAATGATTCAAAAAGAGTCTGTCCTGGTTTGCGCTGAAGTCAGGGAGAGCAAGGTTTAGAACCAGAATGAGGATGCCAGGACTGTGACTCCTTGGTGCTGCTGCCTTTTTCATTCAGGCCTTTTCTAAGTATGACGTGGTTTATATTAATTTTTAATATACCCCTAGGAAGGGGAACTTTTGTGAGTTTTTTTGAACTGCTGTCGATGAAGTACATATGGTATGTGCATCTTCTCCTCATAGCAATGCCTTTCTGTTCACCATTGGAGCGTATTTTCTGTTAATGCTTGCATTTTTCCTTCATTCAGGTTATGCAGACTGTGCAGTCTCTTTCGAAGTCTCGAGAACTGTGGTCCGATTCCTCTTCAGAAGTGGACTGGATTTTGGCTCAGATCAAAGACCTGATGCAAGAGAACAGGTACATCTCTGATAAGGAACTCAGGAGAAAGGTACAGTGCAGAGCTGGGCCTGTTGCACTGCCTTTTCACCACGTTGTTCAGCTGGTCATGGAGAAAGCAATTGGTTGACTTCCTCAACGTCTTTGAAGACTGAGTTGTTAATCTGTGTTAATGAGTAACGTTTTCTGTGCCAGATGGCCTCCAGGGTGTTGTCCCTGATTTAGCTGTGCTGGCCCCAAGGCAAGTCAGCATCTTCAGTGTCTCCAAAAGCTCTCCCAACAGCCTTGTTAAATATAGTGCTTTTGGTTCACTTGCTGAGCACTGATTCTGCAAAACATGCTTGTTGTAGCCCTTGAAAGTGTGTTAAATCATGTTCTAGCAGTTCTTTGTCATCATCTTTATATGAACCACCTGTTGCCTCAGCTCATGCTATTTGTCCCATGCAGCTGCACAAAGTACATTCAACCCCAATTGTGTGGATTTCCAAAAGAATCAAGAATTTACTTCATCTATCAAATTAAATCTTCCCCCAGAATACTCAAACTTAGAATTTAGATGCTATTGACTGTATTTGCGGCCTTTGAGGCACCACTGTTTCAAAGTCGTCGTCCTCATCAAGCTGCGAAATACTATGTGCTGGGGGGTGAAGAGGGGAGCTTCATTTTTGAAACCCTTGGAATTGATGGCATATTTGAGAATACAAACACTTGGAATACCCAGCCAGTTCCAGGGCTCTGCCATGCTTGTTCTTTACTGCTAGCACAACCAAACCATGCTAACGTTTTTCCCTTAAGCACATCACACTATATAGATATTTCATGGGCAATTCTCAGAACAACTCTTTAGGCTGAATTCACCATCTCAGCAGTGCCTAAGCTGTTAGAATGGACAGCAAGTGAGTGGGGTGGGATTCTGAGGCAGGGCTGTCAATTAAACCTTCACTACTGTGCCTGGCTGTGTACTGGCTGGAGGGGCGGGTGTGTGGGGAAAGGAAGCCTCTTTGGAGTTCCATTCAGTGTAAAGGTCATGGCACATGATGAGTTTTAGAACGTATGATCCTAATATGGAGCCACTGTTAACCCAGGAGTGTGCACTAAAAAGGGGGATCTCTAGTCTCTCTTTGGAAATAGTAACTTTAAAACAAACAAACAAAACCCCAAACCCCTGAAGGTCAATAGCCAGTTTTCTGCTTTGCAGAGGACAGTGTCTCCAGAGAACTTCCCAACTCCAAGATACTGGTAGTAGTCTGACTCGGAGTGGTGCTTGTGTCCAGCATCAGCAGTTATCGCAGCTTGTCATAACTAGCTTTTCTGCTGATAAGCTTGGTTATGTTTTTCCCCTTGCTTCCGAAGGGTGCTTCTGAGCAAGTAGCAAAATACTCTGAAAGCAGCATAGTGGGGGGAGCCTGCATAGGCCTGCTTGTGGTATATCTGGCCAGTGGGTGAGTAAGCAAGAGTTTGCTTTCCTGCCATCAGCCTGGCACTTCTGCAATGGTTTAACAGGCTGGAATTCAAGTGCAGCTTTAAGCTGCTTGAATTTGGTTCAGTGGAATGCTGTTCTGAACAGGGTGCTGTCACCAGAATGTGGCAGTCGTCTTTGCATTACTATTTCTACAGGAAACTCTGGTCTGGCAGATGTAGAGAAGACTTGAAAAGCAACCATCCTGCCCCCAACACCACCTCTAGCTTGGAAGGAATCTGTGAGGTTGTCATGTTCTGTTAAACAGGTTCTGTTAGTCCAAACAAAAGTGCCTGCACATGCATCTTTTCTTCTGAAAAGCTGTTATTGTGGATGAGTAGTTAAGATGCTTCAGTGTTGTTACTGCAATGTGCAGGCTTGTGTCCTTATATGTTGGTAAGTCAAATTGGAAGGGTTAGACTTTTCCTGTATTTCAGAAAGACCTCCTTGTGGACATATTTTAGGATAGCTGTAGCTTATAAATGAAACATTTAATTCCTGCACAGTGTGTTGGGAATTTCACTGCTTTGCAGTCATTTCTTTAGAAGGTAAAGTGACAGTAGGATAGAATTGTTTTTACATCCTTCCTTCTTCAGGTGTATGTGATAGCATGGATTACAGGGCATCAAGGAATTGGTGTGCTTAGGAGATGCTGCTTCCAAAATTAAAGCAGTTTAAAAAGTTTGTCATCTATCTGCAAAAGTCTTAGAACTAGGTGGCACATCTCAGGACCCTGATTTCATTTCCAGCTTTCACTGGCAGTTTTCTGACAGCTTTGTTTGGAATTCCAGCCCAGTAACATAGGTAAGGGTATAAAACTCAGATGCTAGGTGTGGCCTAAAGAAACTTCAAAGATGGGGCAAGAATCTGTGAAAACCAGCATCACCCTTTGTTCCAACAAAAAAGTCTGATGGTGTAGTATCTCTAGGGTATCTGTAATTTCTTAAGTAATCAAATCTGGCAGTAATGCTTTCATAAGAACTTGGTCTTCACTGCATTGTGCTACATTGAGTAAGGCTTTTTTGATGGTTCCCTTAAGCACAGGTTTCAAATAAGACAAAGAAAACAGAGAGGAGGAAGCTGGTTTCCATGACTATAAAAATGGGTTTTTTTCTGTCTTGTGGGTTTTGTTTCTGTTAGCTGTTTCATGGTTTCCTGGGTGACTCGTAATGATCGGGCATCTTCATTAAAATAGCCGCTCTGATATGCGGGGAAATCCCCCATTTAGTGCAGCCAGGGATGGGGGACTTTGTACAACTCACGGCTTGCAAAACTGGCAAAGAGCCAAAGCCTTCAGCAGTGACGCTACTGCATTTTGCAGTTGCATTTAACTGCCTTGTGTGCTCACTGTTCAGAGAGAAGTTTCAGCAAGAATGTTTTTGTTTATATACGTGTGTGTCTGTGTATTTCCAGTGAGTAGTGGTTCCGCAATTCCAGACTTTGGGCCAAACTTGTGGAAAGGAAACATACGTGTTTCTGGATCAGCACAGCTTTGGCAGTGAGTTTCCAACCCTTATTCCTTTTACTTTACAGGCTCGCTCTCCACGTCTTTTGCTTCTTCAAGCAGCGTTAGCTCCAGAAATCCCCAGGAACTGGGTGTCAGGTTGCATACTGCTAGTTTTGGTACTTTCCTGTATTTTTCTGCTCTTGTCAACAACAGATGTCAGATAGGCTAGCTGCTGTAACGAAGCATTTTCCTTGATTTGTGCAGAGTGGTTCGACTGTATTCACACATGTGCTTATTCTTGGGAGCTGGCAGAGCCCAAGCAGGGAGGGGGCATGTGTTATAGGAGAATGTAGAAGTCTGGTCGCTCAGCTTATTTTTTCTCCTGGTGAGTTTCTCATTCCTTTATCAGGAAATAGAGAGAAGTGGGACAAGGGACTTCATTGACAGCTTTCCTCAAAACCGAATAGGTGACCCTTAACCTTTGCCTTCTTCATCCTAGCCAGCACAACTGGAAACCCAGTGCTGAGCATGGCTCTGGTGCTGGGTACCGCTGGGGGCGGTGGTGGTTTCCAGGCCCCTGGGCAAGATCCAGTCACGCATCACGTGGTAGCTCTGCACGGGTTTTGTTGCACTTCTGCAGTGCTCTCTGTGAAGTACGTGAAATAATAGTGATGTAATGGGAATGTTTCACCAGAGTGACAATACAGGCTCAGCTCCACAGGAACAGTTGAAAACAAGTTTCAATGTGAAGCAGCGGTCACTGGAACCAGATTTTAGCAGGGTATTGAGGTACAGTCATTTTCCACTAACTGTTGTCATACCAAAGAGCTACCTCATCCATTCTCAATGTCCATTTTTCATTCAAGTAATATAGGCCAGATGCTGCCATGCTTCCCCTTATTTAAGCTTTGTTTAAGCCTACTTTCCCCATTTTAATCCTGCAGGGTGAAAATTATTTACTTCAAAATCAATTTAAGACTTAAAAATAATACAAATTCACATGTTGAACCTTGCTGGAGTGTCCTTTCTGCAGACCAGCTATTTAAAACAAACAGACAAACCTACAAGCATACAGTTTTGGGGTTTTTTTTTCTTGTATATAATATATACAAGGATATGTATATATTATAGCAAAGGCTGGAACTAGTACTGCAGTGAGATTGCTAACCTTCACTACGCTTTTAAAAACGCCTGACTGTGTGTCAAAGTTGAGCTGGAGGGAGGGGAAAAGCAAGAAAATCCCACTCATCACTTGTCTCTTGCTGTCATCTTGGCAGCCTGCTGACAGAACCGTGATGACTTGTTCGGGAAGTTTTGGAGTTTGTTTCACGCAGCCAGGTCCTTGTCTCAGAAACCAACTTGCCCTGTTCTGTCTGGACCTTTGAGAGAGAATCTTGATATCATACAGTTATTTGTTTTGCCACATGCAGGTGGCTTAATAAAGAATCCTATTCCAGGCCTTTATGTTGTTTAACATTAGAAAGTTGCTTGAATAATACAGTTTTGCTTGAGAGAGAAAATGATTTTTCAATTAATCTGCATTTCCTACTGAAGCTCTGCTCTGTTGGAAGACTTCTGCTGTGTTGCTCATTTCAGAATAACAATAGGGCAAAGGCCACATTGCATCTGAACAAATGCTGCGCTAGCTTACATAAAACGAGTGTCTTTATGGACAAATGCTAAATCCTAGTAAGAACCAAGTTGAGCTGGCTGAGTATGATGAACAGTCAGGCAAATCACGAGTACATTTTTCTTGTGGAGGGGGAGACGGAGGTGGGTTGGACGCTTCAGAATGATAGAGCAAACTCTAGGATTTGGCACTTGCTCCCATATTTCATCCTTGAGTGTCTACTTCATCTCATGCTATTTTTATTCCAGCATCCAGATGCAACTTTTAAAGAACACAGGCTGTTTTATTTATAGTTAATGGAAGGCTGTGCCTATATTCAGCTTTTTAGAACACCTACACATTTTCTTTGAGAGCCCGAAATGATTAAAAACAGTTCCCAGAAAAGATTCATATATGTACCTTCTATTTCTGTTTATTAATAATTGCATGTTAACTTGTATTGAAAATGAGACCCTATCACACTCTGGTTTCCATTGGTCTTTTGTATAGCAACATAAATATAGTGATATGGCATGGGGTTTCTCATCAGTGCAGGTTTATCTTTCTTTAGAGGGAATTCTCCATTAAAAGTTCTTGTGTGAATGGTCACGGATTCTCCTACTTCAGAAACTGAATAAAGGCTCTATCTTCTGTAGCCCTTGCTACCAGTCCATTCTCTACCATGACATTTGTTTGAGAAGATGAATAGTAGTATGCTACCAAAGCAGCAACGAGTGTGCAAGTGCTTATAATCAAGTCACTTTTTTACTTTAAAAAAAAAAAAAAGAAATTCCACAAGCTTTGAACATATGTTTGTGCGTATATATTTACATAAGTGAACACAGAGGTTCCTGGAAGTTGTTTTTGAATACCATGGTGGTAATTGCTTCTGCTTTGCTTCCTATCTGTCCTGAAATGCTGCAACTGTTCGCTCTTTCAGTCACATGGAGTCTCTGTCGTGTATCACAAATGCAGCTGGGCTAGTGCTTCCCCCATGGCCTCTATGAGACTAGTTTTCTGAAGGACTGACTCGTGGTACTTTCCTGCTCAGCTGAAGACAGGGTTGTTCTTGCAGTCTCCTATGTATTTCTGAAGATGTTTAATTTAAGGACTCAGCTTCTTGCTTTCATTTAAAAGAGAAATTTTTTTTTATTATTCACTCATGGAAAATAGACCACATGAGAGGGAGGCTGGCACAGAATGCATTGACAGGGTTGTGACTTCGTTAGGTTTGGAAACTTGGGTTATGGACTCGGGGGTAACAGAGTTTATGAGTTCTCTTGAGTACGTCAAGTGCTTTTTTAATTTAGAATGCCTATGTAATTCTGAGTAAAGCCTTCCATTTCCCCTATTGACATACACTGTAATTTGGACTGTGCAGAGGGCAGAAGATTCCTTTAGACCTGAAGCAAAATGAGTGAGCTGCAAAGGATCCTCTGCTGTCTGCTTCAGAGAACTGGCCCAGTGGACCTTTCTTACTTAGTCAGATGTTCTTCTGCCTAAAAGGTTCTCTACTGAAGCTGCCATCTGCATGGAGACGTCCTTAATAGTTGGTGATGATCAGTCATTGCATGTAGGAGTAATGGTAATTACGCTGGAACAGTTTCCAGAGAAGAGAAGGATTGAAGCTGGATTTTGTTTTCAGAAACAAGTTACATTCTACCACTTGCCTTCTGATCTCCCACCACACCACCTACTTACGACAAAGTGGTCTGGTGTTTGTGTGTGTTGTTTCTGCGCTCTGAGATCTTCAGCTGCTGTTTGTATTTATAAAAATCCTGTATTGGATCGAAGTCACACCTGGATGTTTAGATTTGGAAGTCACCCTTATTGGAGAAGACAAATTTTCTCATCCATTCTGTATCAAAATATGCCATGTTTGACATGGGTACTACCGTTCCAAATCCAATGAGTCTGACAGCAAAAGCAGTTGTTTCTGTGGAATTTATTCAGTGTTTGAAAATAGCCACCTTGATTTTTTTTTTTTTTTTTTTTTTTTTTGAGAAGTGTTTATTTTAGTGTTGTGTCTTTGCACAGATAGAGAAGCTCATGGATAGAAGTGTGAACAGAAGAAGTCAAGAGAATCCCATGGCTGGATATTGGGGTCGTTGTGGGAATTTTACTTCTGTCCCTTTTGCTGTATTTTACTTTCAAGTGTCAGTTCAGTCTACCTATGTGGGTCCCCTCAGTCTTCCACTTCCATTAAGCCAGCCTAATAGGAGATGAAGTAGTCCTTGAGCTGGGCCATTCAGTGCTATCAGACTAACCGAAGTTTGCAGGGTAGCTATAAGGGCAGGAGACATCCAAAAAAGAGCTGTAGGTGCTGTAGGGAAGAGCAGTTGTGACCCTACTGCAACTTACCTGCCAAACAGCTGTGTGAACTGCACCTTAAGGTGTGCTTTGCCAGCAGGTCAGCAGGGTTGGCTTTTCCTCTGATATTTAACCTAGCTCTGTGGGTCAGAGGTCCTCAAATCTTGGCTGGCCTGCTGGCAGAAGACTTGGATTGTACTGCAAACCATAGGTATTTCAGTATGATAAATGTTCCTGTGCTCTTGAAATGTTTATGACAAACGTGCCTGTGGTTTTGAAATACCAAGATATTTGGAACCTCATAGTTCCAGGTATTTGGCTCTCAAACTTGTTTCAGAACTGGTGCAAGTGGTGTTTTGATATGTAAAGAAATGGCATTAATAAGACTCTCTGATTGCTCTAGGGAGACAGTGGCTGAAGCTCTTCTCGGTGATGGCTTTCTCATCCCAAAGATGGATTGTCTGAAGATGCTAAATATCAAATATGAAGGTTAGTGGGTTTTACACCACGTAAGAAAGAAGTGCATAGCTAGTGTTATATCCAAGTCTGTTATTTTTTTCTCATTATATTGAAATCTGTAATTCTTTGCGTATTTTTCGTATATCTGGGTCCTTAAGCATCTTTTGACCTGTTCTCCAGACCCCTTTATGGCCATGCTTAGCTATTGCTTTTGCATAAATCCCTTACCATGGAAGGACAGCTCTTCAGCACTGAATGCTGTGTGGCCAAAACATCTTTTGAAGCTTGCATCTCTGTCCTTATCTGCAATAGTTACTGATTTAATGAACTCTCACTAGTTTCTTTTCTACATCGAAGATTTGTAGAAAATCTAAATGGGTTTTTTTGAGCCTCATTCACCAGTTGCATGTTAGTTCCATGCTGCTACCCATACATGTGGAGTTGCATGGATTTTCTGCAAGAGAATTAGGTACCTAGAGACAATGAAAATTAGTAATTTGTCTGTTTCTCTGGGACCTCTTGGAAACACCAGCCAAAGAACTTTCCAGGAAAGATCCTCAAATTCCTGTGACTGTATTACAGTAGTAAAAAATTAGGAGCTTTTTGATTCTGTGTTGCTTTGCTCAATGTGCCTTCTCTTTGCAGTATATTTTTAGACAGAATAGCTCTTCATTATGTGTGAAATAAGCTGAAACTGGAAAGGGATTAGCAAAACAGGTAGATTTTCCTGTGGTTTACCATGTAATTAGATCAGGCATTGTATTTTTTGCTTTCATTGAGCTGTTGTGTTAAGTATCAAATTGCTGCTTCTTTTACTTCCCTAGCATAAGAAAATAATAGTTCCAGGTTCAGTGAGGATCCCAGGAAATATCCTGGAACCAGTGATCTCAGAACAAACTGCTTTAGTTTGGAGCAAGTGTCACACCTGTGGTTCACAAAAAATTGCAAAACACTGATTTTTGGCTTCTCTCTGCTTTTTTTTTTTTTTTTCCCCCCTTCTTATTGCAGCAAATAAAGAGGTGTGGCAGTTCAAAATTCCTCAGATGTTTTACTGCTTTTGGCAGCCTTTGCTGACAGGCCTCCTTTCCCGGAGTTTTACACAGATCCTACTAGAGAAAATGTTTGTGGAGTTGAAGGAATGTTCTGACTCTTCAGAACTCCGTGCTCAGTTCTTGATCAACTGGATTTCTGAGATGCTGACTGGCATTGGCAAAGTAAACGCTGGTGAGTGTGTCTGGAATTTCTGTGTTTAAAAAAAAAAAAAAGTAAGAGTCTCTTCTGTATTGCGAAAACTGGGAGAGTGGTGTGACCTTTAGATGGAAAGTGCAGTGACCTAATTATTACATTTTGTCATGTGAAGGTAGAGCTTTTATTGTTGCATTTCTTACACTTCTCAACCTGCAGCTTATGTATGTCATGCATTTCTTAGCAACAAATTGAAATTGTTACTGGCGACTTTGCTGCAGCCTCCTCAAGATGGGAAAAGCCAATCTCCCCCATGAAAGATCAGGCCTTAAGTGCTTTTTTTCTTCAGATATTAGTACTTGTAGGAAATAACAATAGCAGATAACAAATAAAGATGTTATATGCAACCTGTTATGAGTTCCCTGTTCCTAGTTCTTTCCTCACTGAACAGAAGCCTGCCTTTACAAGATACTTGCTGTCCTTTTTTAATTGTATCACAGGATTTTCATGCCTTCTGAACTTACACAAAAGTAATAGGTAATATTTTGTTTTCTGTTCCTAACTCCTTAGAACTGTTTAAATTGGCAAACTGTATGTTCCACTCCAGAGACAGGGGCACCGAAGAGCTTTAATTATTCGAAGTGTGTCACGGGAATTCTGTTAGCAGGACTTTTACACTGCGATGCAGTGTATCCCTGAGGAGGTTTGCAGCTGGTTATTTTTGCCACCTCTTCAGTCCTCTCCCGGTCTGGCTCAGTCTGCACCAAGATTTTGCCAGTATCTGTGGCAGTCATGGGTTCATGTTTGATGCTTTCAGTCAACGCTGAGCATATCTATTACGTATCAAGATCCCTGTATGGTAGTAGTTCCCGGCTGTGAAGTCTACCCATTGCAGTACTATCTGGAATGATCTCGGGTCCCAGAAACAGTATACTGCATTTATTTGGGACAATACTGTACAAACACATCTTGTGGCTTTCCTGTCTGGGATGGGACGCACAGAACCAGCTTGGGAACGTCTGCACCTCGGTGTGGCCATGCCTTGGGGAGCTAACCTAGCTGTCTGTGTGTTGGCAAGTCCCTTTTAACAACCTTGATGTATTTGGTCAGTACATCCGGCCTTGGACTTGGATTGGAGTGTGAGCTTGTTTGAGAATGAGTGTTGCAGTAAAAATGCAAAGGGGCATATTTTTAATGATTTTAATGATTTTTGAGCACCTTGTTGTTTTTGTTATCTCTTTGAAGGGAAGAAAAGACAACACTGTAACAAACAGGTGTCCGTGAAGGAGCTGTTCCTCCATAAATTTCCTTTGCAGTGGATAAGACTGACTGATAGTTGCTTGGAAGCTCCCTGCTGGGCAACCCCACACCTTCTTCAGCTGTAAGTTTGATCCTGTGACCTAGAAAAGGGACAGCAAACGGTGCTCGGTAACAGCTTTGGCCAGCTCCCTTGTGAGATGCTGAGTTACAGCTGTGTTCCCTTCCCTTCTTTTACATCTAGTAGAAATTGTGGCAGGTGCATATAAAGCCCTGCTTGTTGCTGCTCATCTCCCCATTGACTCTACAAAGAGAAGAAGGAGGAGAATTTGAAAGGATTGCACCTTCAAAATGAAAGTGGATATTACCTGGGGAGGTATTAAAGCAGCAACCTGGTCAGAAGAAAAGTGACTTGGTAGCAGAGATGTGACTGCTTATACAGGTGATACAAATTTAGCACAGGTGGTAACGTTTTCACATGAAAACAGCAAAGCAGGAATTCAGTTATAAGTATCCCTAGTCCTTAATTTTAATCACAAAGAGGGAGTATTCCAGCATCCACCCACCATGGAATAATCAGACTTGCCTGTTAGAGGAGATACATGAGCAAGCTGTCCTGGAGGAAGCTCACGCTTAGAAGGCTGCTCAGCTTGATAAACTTTCATCTGGAATCTTTTATGCTTTTAAGACTTTTACATTGCCCTTTTCCTTTCTAGGATCCTCACAATCATGAGACCTCGCTTGCCACGTTCTTCACGGAAGAACCTTCTCTATCTCGCTTCTATTTACACGGCAGGAGGTGGCCCTTTGCCCAGTCCAGGCCTCTCTTCGGACTGCAGTGAACAGCCAATTTACACTGTAGAGAGCTTACAGTGGAGGGCCAGACAAGAAAATCAGGTTAAAAATCAAGGGCAGACTGTAGAGAAACAAGAAGATGTGCTGGAGAGAGATGATGGTGTAGGGGAGGTAGAGGAAGAGGAAGAAGAGATGGTAACTGAAACAAATCCTTTGGAAGGACTTGCTCATTCTGGTAACATGGTGGCTATTGCTGAGAAAAGGGCAGCACTGCAAGGGTCCGCCTGGCAGATCACTGCAGGTAAAAAATTACTTTGTAAGACAATCTTTGTCACTGGCAAATGTTAATTGAAATGCAAAGGCATCTCAGGTCTCTGGGCCTGGCCAGAATCGAAGTGTGCTTCAAAATCACCTAAATGCAAAAAATCACTGAAAACTGGTTTTTTTTCCAGTCTCCTGTTTATGTGCAGGAGTCATGTCTCTCAAACTCTTAAAATACTGTGAGTGCTTTTTCCAGGAGCGTGTTGTTTCTGCCTCATTAAATTTTTTATCTGGCTTTTCCAAACCATTTAAAATTTCAGTGTATCCAGTTGATGGGGCAGCACATATGCCAGCTGTGAATGGCAAAGAAAATATGGATGTTTCTTGGACTTCTGTTTGTCAGACTTGGGGGTATTTGAAAGCACGGTTTGGCTGTGCTGGAAAGCACCAGTCATATGCTCATAAGTTCCATGCTCCAGGAAAATTGCTGTTATGACATGGTGTCAAGCAAAAGAAGGAGCAAGGCAAGTTTTTAGAGGGAGCAAGCAGTATATCCAGTGTTTTGTTAGCTTTATTACAGTAGCTGTACTGTCTTGTTGGGGTGGAGAGTTCTGTAGCTAAGATTTTTGGATGGAGGGACTTGAAGACAGGAGGATGGGGTTGGTGGAGAGGAGTTGGAGGCAAAGTGATATTTAAAGGAAGAGGAGGAAAAGAAGCTATTAGAAGGCAATGAACTCTTGTACCCCACTCACAGGGAAATTTTCCCAAGTCAAAAACCAAACAAGATCTGCCTAAGCAGCTTGGCTTAGTTATGTGGTTGTGAACAGCTTGTTAGAGCTGGACAGTTTGAGAACAGAAGCAAAATTGTCCTCTGCTTCAGTGACTTTGGTTCAGATCAAGCAAAGCTTTCACTGAAGGAACGCACATTGTGTCCTGAACCACCTGAGTTTTTGAAGATTCTGTTTATGTAGTTGTTTGTGGGTAAACTTAATTTCTGTTTTAATAACATCTGTGTAGTTACCATCCTTAAACAATTTGAAACTATAGCCAGTAGGTAGGTACAAAGCCATGACAACATGTTGTATATCAACTATTTACTAGGTTGTTCCCCAAAGAGAGGGCTTAGCCTGTTAAATATATTTAATGGTACTTTGCCTTACAGCTCCATTGGATGTTACCAAATGCAATTTCTGTCTCTTTTTTAACTGTAAAATTATAACACTTATAAAGCACTATCCTATGTAAAGATTTTTTTTTTCTATTAAATGCCCAAGAACAGTATAAAAGGAAAAACAAATAAATCTGCTGGTTCTTTAGGGCAATGCTTGGGTTTTTGAGCAGATATCAGGTATACAAATCAGTTTCAGGCAAAGAGAAGGAAATGGCCAAGTTGTACGTGATTAGCAGGGGTCTCAACTAGTCTGTGTAATTATTGCTGGCTCTCTGGAGTGTAGTGCTTATCTTCTGAAGGCTTCTGTCTGCTGGTCTTTGCTGAGGTGCTAGTAAGCATTCCAGAAATAAGTGTTCTGGTATCAAGAAAGCACATAGGCTTAAGAAATCTTATTGTCAAAACAACGACACATAATCATTTGTGTCTTTCATTTAGTTGGATGTGAAATAAGAATGAAATTTAAAGGGGGATTTCGTTATTGGGAACTGCCTTTGAAATTTTGGCACCACAATGTAAAGGAATGGACTCACTGATGTTACCAGTTGTGATGGGTGGTTTCCCATCATGCAGTTTCTGGTCCCCATTGGAAGCCAAATTTAACAAATGTGAAGTCATGGAGAGGAAACAGCAATAGGTGCTCGTAAAAACAAATAGCAGAATTTCCAAGACACTGTCATTCTCTTTTTCTTTGCCATCTCATCCCAGCCCACCTGTCTGTCCAGAATTGCTTTATTGGTTATTTAGGCTTACCCAGCCTTACACTCTTCTACTTTTGTGGCTTCCATTCTTCTTTAGTCACTGTTGCTGTGCAGCTGCTAATCTCAGTGAGTTAAGAAGCTGATGCTTAGTCTCACTGGAGGAATGAGCTACTGGATGCAAAGGTGCTGTTTTGTATCTTCATACGTGTACAAATGGCTCTTTCCATTTAGAGAATTATGCAGAGTTATTTTTTTAAAATTAATGTAAGTAAGTCAGTGTGTATGTTTTAAATGAAAGTATGCTTAAAAGAGGAAGGTAATCTGGAGAAGGGTTGCTCTAGAATACCGTGGGGTTCCTTTTAATGGACATTGTCTCACGGGGGTTTGGACGAGCTGCACTGTGTAGACTGCATGATGTTGCGTTGACTCCAGATGTGTCCCTGTTGTCTCACATACTACAGTGACTTTCTCTGGAAGAGATAGTAAGGTTAGAAATAAAGTTAGTTAAAACTATAGTTTAAACTTATTTTTGCTGAGTACCTGGGATTGTTCATTTTTGCTGAATGGCTGAGTTGCATGAGACAGTACTTGTGGACCTGGGGGGATCTTGGTTTTTGAAAATTTCTCTGGGGAGCTCAGACTTCTTGTTTATGTACTGTTCTTATGCAGATGAAGTACGATGGAAAGACTTCCCTCTTGGGAAACTCCCAGGTCAGACAGATGACCCTGATGGTCTCATGTTGGATAATTATTCCATGATGTCCCTGCTTGATCAGCCAGTGGGAGATGAGTGGAAGCCTCCCAATACAAAGTGAGTAATGGTGTGGGCAGGACTTTGCCCCTGAACCGCAAAATGCATGTGTCTCTGTGCCTTGTACTATATGATATGAAAAATTAAGGATAAGATTTCCTTTTTTACTTCTGTTTTACTAAATAGTTTGACCCAAATATCTACCACTATCTCTAACATCTGCTAACTGCGCTTCTCATGGATTTTTCGAGTAATGTGTGTGTTTGGAAGGACGTTTGCAGTGCTGGTGTGGTAGCATTAACAGTCTGCTCTTCAGACTGCACTGACAACTTTCAGTGTTGTCTGATGCTTAATAAGACACAGTCTGCTGATCCCTTCGAGTTACTAGTTTGGAAGTACAGAATTTTTAAAACAAGCTATTGAGAGCTGGTGTGGAATCTGCGCGGTGATACACTGGGATGAATAACTTTAATGGGAAGAACTGTGGCCTTGCAATTAAAGCATTCAGGACTAGAAGCCTTGGAAGTCGTTTAGCCTGGCCCAGTGTCAGTTTTCCCGGACTAGCTAATCTTGTATAGGAAGGAAGGAGTCATTTTAAAATGCACAGTGGTTTGAAGCACTTTGAGGTGCATCAGTGGGAAAGCCTGAAGATGAGGAGAGAAGGTAGTCACAGGAAGCGGTTGACGGCAGATTACTTTTGTAACACCTGAGGAGGGAATTGGCTGTACATGACTGGAGTGGTGAATATGCTGAGAGTTTCACATCAGTGAATGCCAACGTGTCTCTTTTCTGTATGCTTGGAATGGAGACTATAGTACGCTTCCTGAGTAAGGTCTATGTCACTGCAGTCCCAGTTATTCGTCCTATGGCTCACCCAGCATGAGACAAACTCTCTTCTCCTCACCCTCCCCCCCCCCAACAGGAAGCTCTTCCTGCTTGTTTGTGCTGCATTAGTCGGGCAGTGTGCTTGCGTTGTTGGTGGAGACAGACAGACAGAAGTTATTGCTACCTGTATTGCTGTGACAACTTACCAGTATCATAGGAAGTTGCTTCCTGAAGCCCAGTGATCCTTCGAAGCTGAAAGAATATACTCAACACTTAGCTCTCCACATTTGTCTCCTTCATCTTTTCCTGTCATCAAGTCTGAGAGCTGCTATTTGTAATTGCTGCTGTTCTCATTCCCTTCTTTTGTTTTGCACTCCTTGGGTCTTTTGCACTATCTGAAAGTTAAATGCAGTGGCATCATTGGCAATCAAAAATGTGATTTCTGTGGTATCCTTTGAGGAAGCCAGCTTATAATCTTACCATCTTCACTCTTCCTGCTCTTTCTAAAAGAAACCATTGCAAGGATTATGAGATACTGCTGTTTAGCAGTTTGGAAGCGATTAGCACAGCCTCAGCAGGCTTGATAACTCAGTTTCTATTAACTGGGGCTCTGATCCTCAGTCACAGTATGTTGGCATTGCCCAGTGACCTTTTCAGAGCTGCAGCTAGTAATTTAAGCTGTAGATCTGACCTCAGTAAAGAAACACAGGTTGTCATGGAAATAATGGTAGCATTCTATAAAGCTGTAGTTAGATCACCTCTGTTACTAAATGAAGCTTATCCAGTTAAACCATCCCATTGAAGACATTTTAATAGGGTCATTATTTCACCCTTTCAAGTCAAAGGAACTTGAATGCTGTAAGCTGTCAAATCAGTTTCATCCCAGACACAATAGGAAATGGGCTTATATGTATTTTAATCCAGGAACAATTCAGAATATAAATGAATAGCAGTTATTTTCTTAAACACTTGATAGGATAACTTTCTAATCAGTGATTCTTTCCCTGTAGTTGACGGGCCCAATCTAGAAGCCTCCAAAAAACCTGAACAACAGTGACAGTCATGCAGCCTGGGGTGTCGCACTGGGAAGAGCTCTTGCACATATTCATATTTGCACGTATTCAGAGTTGTCTTCAGATTAGCTTCCAGTCCCAAACCTTCCAAAGAGCAAGGTTTCTGTTCTCCATCCTTTTGGTCATCCTCCCTGGGACTAGTCTGTTCTTTTGTCAGTTCAGGCCTGCTGAGAGGGTATTGTTTCTGCTTGATTCATCCAATCGAAATATAAAATTAGCATCTCTGAGATTGCTAGGTAATGAAAAAGAAACTATCCTTTCCTACTGCTCCTCTTTCTGACAGTCCAAATACTTCATGGAGTCCTTGGTTCCAGCACTTCTACGAGAGGCAGGGCCAAACCTGCCTCTCTTTGTTGAGAGGCTAAATGAGTTATCCTTTTTGAGACCTCTTGAATTATGTTAATCACTGACAAGACCTATGCTTTGAGTGCTGCATGAATTTCCTCTCAGACTGTGAAGAGAGCAGGTAACCATTTGTCTTCTGATAGTTTATCATCCCAAAAAGAAGAGTAAATCTATACTAGATGCAAAAACGCCCTTTTGATTTAGCGGAAGAGCCCTTCGGTGTCAGCCAGCCATGAATCATGTTTCTTGCAACATGTTCCATGTTGGGAATAAGGCACATTCCTGGAATTTGCGTATCTACTTCTAGTCTGCAGAGCCCCAGCATTCTCCCTGTAGTCACAAATGACAGAATACTTGATCTCAGAGACATTAAACATAAAGCTGTTGGACTTGATGTTTATGTAGGTGAGATCACCGATAAGAATAAGGAGCTGCAGCAGAATTCTAATTGGCTACAATAATCGGTACCATTTGGTATCTAGCCAGCAGGCTCTGACAAGAGATGGGTGGGGGTTTCTTAATCTGATCCTCATTGGCTCAGTTGATTTTTCTATGCACGGTAGCTGGAATCATTGTTACGGAGGCTGTAATGAAGTGTATGTGGAGTAGTGTGATTCACTGTGCTGGCTTGTTTGTAAGCTGCTACTTGAAACCAGCTGTAGCGTGTGCCCTTTCTGACTTGTGTGTCGTAGGCTTCAGGTGTTGTGTAATCCCCTTATATTTCTTGGAGTGGTTTCTAGAGTAACAGGAATTAAGAATCACCTAATGATTCCAGGTTCTGCTCTACAAGCAAAGGAATTCCTCTAGGTATAAACTTTATATCATACCACTGATGTAGATGTTAAAGGAGCTAGAACTTGGCCATGATAAAGTCTGCTGTCTGAAAATCCACAGCACATATTACTCCATTTGTTAATAAAAATTCACTAAAATTACTAATAAATGGGTTTTTGTCATTTTGCTTTGGACATCAACAAAGTCTTTGCTAGTGTCAGCAGGAGTTAAAGTGAGTGCTGGTATTGAAGTGTGATTAGTTAACAGCTTTATTCAGTGTGGAAACATCCAGCCCCCAAGCCAGCAAACATGAAATTGCTACTCTACCCTTAATTGGTTTAGTGGTGGACTTGGTAATGTTAGGTTAATGGTTGGACTGGCTGATCTTAAAGGTCTCTTCCAACCTAAACGATTCTATGATTCTATGATCTCTGTTAAATGAAATTTAGAATAGAATTAAGAATAGAAAATTTTGGTCAAATTATCATGGAATTATAAGTAATCTCACATGCATCTCTATTCCATTCCAAGTAATGTGATACAATCATAGCATAGGCCAGGCTGGGAAGGACCTCGAAAGGTCATCTGGCCCAACCTTCCGTGGTAAAGGGAGCCTAGATGAGATTATATAAATGCTCTTCTTGCCAAATTCCTCTTATTGAATAGGCTAAGCTTGATAGCAGGAGGGGTAGTGCAAAAGACCCCCAGAAGAGGAAAAAAAGCCACCAGGCTTTTCTCTTCTGGATTCCTGAGAAATGTGAGTATTTTTGGAGAGAAAACAGCAAGCAGAAACTATTGCTATGGTGCTGCCCAGTTTTTGCAGCTGATGTGCTTACCAATATTTTATCCTTGCCACTTTTATTCCACACATTATGTGGTAACAGCAGTAGTTTGGGATCTTTGGTAATCTGTGTCTGTTTCTTTTACCGCTAATCCTCTAGTTGCAGGTGGTTGGAGAGATGATCTGGTTGTTCTTCTGTTGGTCCCCCAGCCCCAGCTGCTTTGCCTTCTTTTCCCTCCCCATACCAGTGGTCATTCTGCTGCAGCTTCCAGCATCTGTGCTGGTGAGAGTGAGAAGGTAGTTGTTTGTTTTGTTGCCAACAGTGGCAATATGCTCCTGTTTCTCACAGGGAAGGTGAAGAATTGAGATTTATCACCATGACAACTTTCTCCTATATCCCACATTCCTCAAAAGTCTGTGCCATCAGTATACTGCTAGCTGCTCCTGCAGCTGGCAAAACACCTTGCAGTTTCTATTTCTGTGTTGTCAGCAAGGTACTTAGCTGTGTTCTCATTGCTTTTACTTTGGTTTTGGCTGCTTTCATTTAATCCCTGCTAAACCTTTCTTTCTACTACTGTTACAAGTTTTGCTTGCTAGCCCTTCATAAAAAAGACTCAGCTGTGGATGCTGGCAGCTGACCTGGAGATGTTTTCTAGATAGTGTTTCCAATGTATTTTGGTTATGTTCCAACAAGAAAAAGTCTTCTGTGTTTAGAGTTCCATCATAGTTCCTAACAACGAGAAAGCAGAACCATGAAGCAAGCAACCACTGGGTGCAGCTGGTCCTGCTGCACCTTCAGTGTTACGTTCCTTTCTCCTTTTCAAACTCAACACTTGTGGCTGCTTTTGTGATGCTCAGTTGTCGCAGTGAGTCATGTGAAGCAGTTCAAGTCTCCGCAGTTCTACAGCACTGGCAAGCAGCAGTTGAGTGTTAGGATTAAACGGTGACATGGTAAAGCTTCCAATCTGTCCCTGACTTAATATCACCTCTTGTGACTTCAGAATAAATGTGATCTAATTCTTTGGATTTGGAGGGCATATAAGGGTAGTAGGAAAGAATTTTGGGAGGTAAAACTTGTTAGGATTTTTGCAAATCCATTAAATGTCCAAAGTGTGTATGATTTCTGGAGTGGAGTCCCCGTCCCTGGAGGTGTTCAAAAAACGGGCAGACGTGGCACTTTGGGACATGGTTTAGTGGGCATGGTGGTGTTGGGTTGATGGTTGGACTGATGATCTTAGAAATCCTTTCCAACCTTAATGATT